TTTTATTTTTATAAATATAAAATAATTATTAGGCAAAGCTGGGCATAGGGTATATGGGAACTCTTTGTACTATCCTTAAAAATCTTCATTAGAACTAAAATAATTTCAGAACAAAAAGTTTAAAAAATACACTGGGCTGAGTTTCAAGAGCCCATATAATAAAACTCTTAATGAATGAAACTGCCTTAATAGTTGAGGAAATAAACTGAAATGTCATAACATGGATTCATTATTCAATGAGAAAGGGAGAATTTGACAGACTACAGTTGACAGCAATTACTGCGAAAAAATAAAACCATTTCATGTTATGCCAGATAATTGGAACTACTTAATAAACTAGTTATATTCGCATATATTTATTTATTATGTGTATGTGAATGAGTGTTTTTCTTTCTGTCTGTCTTTATTTTTTAAAAACTTTTTTTAAATGTTTTATTTATTTTTGAGAGAGAGACAGTATGAGTAGGGGACAGACAGAGTGAGAGGGAGACACAGAATCCAAAGACAGGCTCCAGGCTCTGAGCTAGCTGTCAGCACAGAGCCCGACGGGAGGCTAGAACTCACGAACCATGAGATCATGACCTGAGCCGAAGTCATACACTTAACTGACTGAGCCACCCAAGCACCCCTGAAAGAGTGTTTTTCTAAATACAGTTCTGCAACTTCAAAATATATAATTTTAATTTCTTTTAACATTTATTTATTTTTGAGAGACAGAGAGAGATAGAGCACAAGCAGGGGAGGGGCAGAGAGAGAAACACAGAATCTGAAGCAGAGCTGTCAGCACAGAGTCCGATGTGGGGTTTGAACCCATTAACTGTAAGTTCATGACCTGAGCCAAAGTCAGACATTTAATCGACTGAGCCACCCAGGCACACCCAAAAATATAATTTTAATATAATTCAATGTCACTTATAGGTACAATTTTTTTTTCATTCCTTTTTATATCTGTATAATTTCTACAGTATAGATAATTTAATCATTCCCATATTAATTTAAATTATTTCCACCAACTCAGTTATTTCTATCAACATTGGAGTGGTTACAAAGTTGAACCAGATAAAGCTTTTGTCCTTATAGCACCTTTAAGTAAGTGAGGGATACAAACTAGAAAGCCAACAAAGCATGGTGAAAGTGTTAGGATGGGAAAATACAGGATCTGAAGGATAATATAGCACAGGCAACCAAGGTAGAATCAAGAGGCCAGCACAGACTTTCTTTTAATTATAAATTTAATTTTTAAAAGCACCCAGCCTGCAGCTAGGACACTCTCTCTCAAACAATTCAGCTTCTGCCACAGGAAAAAGTTTCCTGGCCTAAGATGTAGTACAGCTGATGTGTGCCTTCCCTGAACCTGGTAAGGCTCTACATAGATGCTGATCTCAAGGTTTAATTAAGCAAAGCAATCTACAGAATCTAGCTGAGGTGGATTTTGAGCATATTATCACATATTAAAACTCTAAGCAGACCAACTCAAGGATTCCTATTACTGTGGCCAACATGGATACCATGGGGACATTTGAAATAGCAGTGGTTATGACACAGCATTTCAGGTTCACAGCAATTCATAAGCATTATGCCCTGATAACCAGAAACTCTTTGCCACAATAATCCACAATGTGTTTAGCATTTAGCTGTGAGTTCAGGAAGTGGGCAGAATTATCTGGCAGAGATGAAAAGTATTAGAAGTTGTGCTTCAAGTTAGGTTCATTTCCTTGAACATGGCCAATGGTTATTCTGAATAGTTTGTGAAACTTCTGAAACTTATCCATGCCAAATTTTCAAATGTCAGGGAACATAGTAGGGAAGGATTGTAGAAGAGTTTCCTCTCTGAAACAGATATGTTCTGATTGGAAATCAGGTTTTCTGTGCTTCACTTATCAGAACATGAGTGGACTACCCTCAGCACAACAAAGACCCAATGTGTTGTATCTACTTGTTCTCTGAAGGGGCAAATCATCTCATATGGTGGCCACTTGAGTCTACACTATGCAGCCAAATATTTGGATGTGGAGCAGATTTTGCCATGGTGGGAAGGATGTTTTCAATCCATATAGAGTGTGCTAGAGAAGTGAAGGAGAGGAATAGCTGTCTCAAGCTCTTCTATGAGAGGAACTTTAAAACAGCAGTGAAAAAGAAATAGGCAGGAGGAGTTTCTGAATATGGAGACTCAGAACACAAAACTATGGAAGTGACTTCTAAAGGGAACTTAGAGGGGCACCTGGGTGGCTCAGTCGGTTAAGCATCCAACTCTTGATTTTGGTTCAGGTCATGATCCAGCCATTCATTGGGCTCTGTACTGACAGCCTGACAGCAAGGAGCCTGCTTGGGAGTCACTCTCTCCCTCTCTCTTTGCCCCCTGACCCCCATTCATGCTCTCTCTCTCTCGCCCTCTCTCTCTCTCTCAAATAAATAAACATTAAAAAACACAAATAAAGGGAACATAGAAAACAATATTCTGGATATCACAGTCTTGTACAAAAGCTCCTGGTTAGTAAAATGCTTCCTTCTTTTCTTCTCCCCTCACACCGCTTGAGGGACTTTGGGCTTTGTAGCTATCCCCATTGCCCTCTTGGTACATGAAAACTGGACATTCATTAGGTCAGAAGCTCAGGGTGTCTACTTTCTAGAACTCATGTCTTTATTGTTAAAATTAATATGTGCACATTTTCATTCCTTTTTAAAAATAGTTTTCACTTTAACGTAATGCTATTATCTTCAAAGATCTATTTATATTTAAGGTCCTAAAACTAAACAGAAATTTTTAAAGGAGCTCCTTTCATAATTACTCAAAACTAGGAACAACTTAAATGTCCTGTGGGTAAATGGACAAATAAACCAGAACATCCATATAACAGAAAGTTACTCAGAAAACAGAATCAGCTATTGCTACATGAAATAGCTTAAATGACTTTCAAAAGCATTTTGCTAAGTAAAAGAAGCCTGTCTCTAAATGTGATATATTGTAGATATTGTAGATTTCTTTTATATAACATTTTGCAAAATCTTTAGGAATTGGGAATAGATCAGTGGTTGCCAGAGTTCTTGGATGGCGGTAAGATATGACTACAAAAAGGTAGCATGAGGGAGTTTTTTAGGGGGGTGACTGAACTGTATCTTGATTGTGGGGATGATTACATAAATCTATACTTTTGTTAAACTTCACAGAACTATAAACACAAAAATGGTCAATTTTGTCGTATGATAATATTTTTAAAAAGTAAGAGTTGTCCCCCATTAAATGTAACATCTGATGGGGCACCTGGGTGGCTCAGTCGGTTTAAGCGTTGGACTTTGGCTGAAGTCATGATCCCAAGATTCGAGGGATTTGTGGGTTCCAGCCCCATGTTAGGCTCTGTGCTGACAGCTCAGAGCCTGAAGCCTGCTTTGGATTCTGTGTCTCCCGGTCTCTGTCCCTCCATGCTGGCTCTCACTCTCCCTCATGCTCTTTGTAAGATAAAAACAAATTTAACATGTGAAAGAATGGAAACATTTTGTGGTAGTTAATGATTATATCTTTATAATTTACTGTATATATTTACATTAAAAACTCTCTTGAATAATAGAAAATGTATCCCTCAACTGTGGAATAAATTCCTCATGCTTAAATATAAATTATAAGGCATTAAGCCAGAAAAAAATATTTATTTTTTGAACCCTTCCTTTCCTATGGCAGGCTTTGTTGGCTGCCTCATCCCCCAGTGACCATCCTAGGCAAAAGATTCCTCACTTCCTCCTTCCCCTGACTCTTCAGCTGACTCAATTAGCCAGAATGCCATTTCTGGCAACAAGATACCTCCAAGTGCCAGTGGATTAGGAGTTGTATCATTTTCCTCTTTTAAATACTATTTTTTACAGCAATGATGTTCTCTCTACTTCTGATCATACCAATTATGAATGTTGATAGTTCTCTTTTTGAATGGAACAAAGTGAATGATACCAGAATATCTCAAGAGTGCCATGAGTGAATGAAACTTCTACCTAAGAAGCCTCACACCAAATGGTGAGATATAGGGAACTCTCTCCTTTCTGAATTTTAAGTTTATGAAAGCTATTTGAGTTCCAAAATAATAGTTCACTCTGAGGAAAGTAGGCTTTTATGTGGACTCATCTGATTAACAAGGCACCAGATCCTAGAGGACTAAGAGGTCTGTCTGAAGTGTATTTGAAACCCAAGTGGAATTCACCAGCAGTCATCAATGAAAAGGTCAGGTTTCTAACACTTGATAACTTGAGCTCAGCTAGAGAGAGAAAAAGTAGTGGACTATTTATATAAAATTATTTATATAAAATTGTTAACAAGAGAAAACTAGATTTCTTTCCACAGATTATTTTGGGAGCCAGTTTTTTTTTAAAGGTGCAGTTTTAATAAGATTTTTTTTTTTCTAACACATCAATATGTTGTGAGAACTGTCATTTCACTTGTAGCCATTAGGAAACTTTCCAAAGTCTTAAAAATTGATAAAACTATTTTGTCCTCCATATTGTGTCAAATATCGATTATGAGGCATCTCTTTTTAAACTATCATTGTAAAACATCATGATCATTTAATATCATACTTAAAACGTTAAAAAATTCAAAAGAAGTCGTAAAAAAAAGCCCACACTCTCACTCCTACATTATTTTCTAGCCGCCTCTACCCACCCCTCCCCCTATCTATCACCTTAGCCCACCCTTTGCTAGACAGGACTCTAGGGGAAATAGTGTACCATAGGTCTTCAGGGAGGCAGGGAGGTGGGCGAATTTGAAGCAGGAGAGAGAAGGCGATAATTCCCAAAAGAAGGAGAAATGGTCGATTAACCCCTAAAAGGTGATCCTCCCTGGTAATCCAAGAAAGGCGAATAGCAACTGCAAGGGTAATATACCAGTTCTATTGTCTGTGATTGGCAAATACGAGAAAAGATTGACAGTATCAAGTGGAGGGAATGCAGGGGGCGGGCTGCAGCGTTAAATGGGAGGGGTAACTGAAGACTGGAGCTCATTGATGACGCGACCTCACGTGACCAGGAGTCGACGTGTGCAGAAGTCCTTATAGTCCAGGGCCTGTTTCCCTGTAGCAGCTCCGTATTGCTGGAGAAGGAGAAAAGCGCCCCGGATCCTTTCAGGTCAGTATAAAAGCGGCCGCTGCCTTGGGAATCCTGAGGTCTAGGAGCCAGAGAGCAAAAGCCAGCCGGGGTCGCCACTCTTTTCCCAACATTACAGCCCGCCAAACTCCCATTTTTTTTTTGCAGGAGATTTGGGGCTGTTTGGTGGGGGTGGGGGATGGGGGAGTAAAGGTTGAATGCTAGCCAATTGAGGGTCCCTAGAGAGACAGAAACAATTTGGAAAATAACATGTCTCCTATTCCCTGCCTGCAGGGAACCGGTGGGCACCGGGGATGGAGGGCGGGGTTGCCTTAAAAGGAAGGAGAGGACAACTTTAGACCAACAAGGCCTAGAATCATGAAAGGGATCTGTGATTAAGGTACTGGCCTGCTCAGCAAGCACTTCTGTCCGTCTGCAGGAGTCTTGGTCTTTTGGGCGCGACTCAAATCGAGTGAGGGAAGAGGCAGGAAAATCCCCTGGATCCCTGCAGGTCAGTGTAAGGGTGCAATTGCCTCAGGCCCCTTCGGGTGGGGGCGGGGGTGGGAGTGTGAGTGTGGATGACACCAAAGCGTTTCCTGGGGTCGCCACAGCCTCTCCCTGTCCGGATTAAGCGCCGGAGGCCTTTGCAGAGCCTGCAGCGGAAATGGGGCGGGGGCGGGGGAGGCTGGAGAGACGTGGAAGGGGGAGGGGAGGCCAGATACTGCACTACCCGGTTTTAGGTGAGTGGCGGGAGGTTGGAGCCGCTTGGGAAAGCCCGGGAGGGCGGGAATATTGGAGACCTGCGTCTAAGGAGAGGGTTAATTGCTTCCGCGCTGCTCCCGTTTCTGTGCTAGCAGAGGCCTGTAAGCAGGGCCTGCTGGGAAATGGTGGGCTGGAGTAGGAGGGAAGATGGAGCTGGAGCGAGAGGGGGAGGGAAGGGAGGTGGAGGAAGGGGTGGAGTCAGGGGAGTTCTGAGCCTGAGGACCTAGCCTTCTCTAGTTGGAAAACTTAGACATTAGGGACCTGAAAGAGAAGAGGCCCGTCGCTATGGGAACCTATACTATGGCTGGTCTGTTTGTCTGGCATCTAGTTTTGTTTCCTTGTTTTCTAGGATTGACTTATTCAAAAGAAGTAACAGAAAAATACTCAACATGCAAAAGTCTTGTGAAGAAAATGAAGGAAAACCACAGAACATGCCAAAGGCTGAGGCAGATCGCCCTTCGGAAGCTGTACCACAGGAGGCAGAAGGAAATCCTCAACCTTCCGAAGAAGGTGTAAACCAGGAAGCAGAAGGAAGTCTTAGAGGAGGGCTGACCCAACCTGGCCAGGGGTTTAAAGAGGACACTCCTGTGAGGCATTTGGACCCTGAAGAAATGATAAGAGGAGTAGATGAGTTGGAAAGGCTTAGGGAAGAGATAAGAAGAGTAAGAAATAAGTTTGTGATGATGCATTGGAAGCAAAGACATTCACGCAGCCGTCCTTATCCTGTGTGCTTTAGGCCTTGAATTCTTTTTTTGTCTGATATTAAAATCTGGCCCTTTCTTTCTTTCTGTAAGCGTTTTCTGATGTATCTTTGACCTTCATTTTACTTTAATCATCTGGTGGAATTTTGTTTTAGGTAGTTCCCTTGTCACCAGTATCTCACTGGATTTTGTATTTTGACCCATTCTCCAGGTCTGTTTTTCAGTTGGAAGGTTTCACACATATGCATGAAAATATATTCATTCTATATTGTAAAGTAAGACATAACTGGTTACAAAGCAGTATATTTAGTATCAGCTCACATATGTAGAATTAAATCCCGAATTGTGTGCGTGCGTGTGTATACATATATCAAAAACTTAACTGCTTATTTCTGTGTGGCGTGACCTTTTTTCTTTTTGCTTTAATGTATTTTTTCATGAACACATGTCACACACACAAAAAGAATTAAAGTTTTATAAGTTAGAGTCAAATAATTTGCAACCAGCTTATAAGGGCAATGGGGGCACCTAAACTCGATGGAAGAACTGTAAGAAATATGTAAACCTCAAATTACGTCTGGATCTCTTAGCCAGAGGAATAAAACTGGCAATTAATACAGATATACTTGCTGAGACTCAGTCTTTTCATGGGGAAAACATTTTCCTCACAGAGCTTCTGTGAGGAAGAAATGAGGCAACTCTGAGCTGTGCCAGGTGGACTCATTCCCACCTGAGCATACAGAACCCCAACCCACTACAGAGCATCTGAGGGAGGGCCCTGGCATGACTTACCTGTGCTCAGGAACAAGTTCACTCGTCGGCAGGGCACTGGGGGCTTCCATGCCAGTCATCTGCTGTTGAACCCCATCCTCCCCCTCCCCTGGGTTCTGCCATGCCTGCTGGGCACTGCTGCTGCTTCTGCTGGGTGCTTTACTCTCTTCTGGCCCTCACTGTTCCTGACACATTGGAGTTCTTGTGTGCCAAATCCCACTCACTTTCCTGGAGTCCTTATTGGGTTGAACCCCCACTCAGCTGAAGCCTACCTGCTTTAGAGTGACCCTTAACACAGGTGAGACTGCTCTAGGATGGCTTGAGTCACAGTGTCTTGGAGAGTTTTTAGCAAAACAGACCCTTTTGTTTTTAATCCTAGGACCCTTCCTCTAAATAGGAGTCAGACATGATGAGGTCATTTTGGGAGTAGGATCAAGGTACAAGTTTAATTTAAAAAATGCTATAGTCAGAGTTACTGCTTTAGGTCTAAGGACTTAAGGTTCTGTCTTCCTTCTGGGAGATGATCTCTCCCTGAAGGCTCCTGGCAGACCTGCCCTACTGGTTCAGAAGACTTAATATGCATAAATTTTACAAAGCAATACAGGAAACCGATCTAAGGGAATAGTTTCCTTCACCCCATCCAATCCCCAGTTGAAAGAAGAAGAAGAAAAGACTTGAAAAGGCACAAAGAAGTTTATAGATGCACTTAGTAGAAAGGCTACTATGTAAATGTTAGGAATTTTATTTCCCCTATAGAACAAAAACCATCTTTTCTTCCTGATAGTCCCACATACTTGTGTTTAATTGAGACATCATGTTTTAATATGTAATTGGTTTCATGATTATTACCAAGGAGCTTGTGTTGTCCAAGTTCTGCTATTGACTTAATAGTCTTCAACAAATCTTTTTAGTTCTTTAGTATTATGACAAATAATTCCAAAAAGAAAGTGCATGATATAGATTGCACTCCAAATGTTTTATTAAAGTCTTGCATAGTCACCTGCATTAGAATCACCTTGGGGAGCATCTTTAAAATACTGATTTCTGGGGCTGACCTAAGACTCATGAACTGGAAGTGGGCTCTAGAAGTAACAAGTTCCTATAGGTGATTATGATACACACTGAAGCATGAGGATGACTGATGTATACAGTACGCTTTATTAAAAATATGAACCCTAAAATAATTAGAAGACAATAGGATGAATTTTATTGAAATTCAGAAAGTAGAGGTCTATAATGGTGTTTATCTTTTTAACTACCAACTATAAAAAGATTGACAGATATATACATAAAATTTACAAGATTCCCTTTAATAAAGAAATATAAGATAAAAAAACAAGAGTGGAAATGTAATTTTAAATGCATTTTTCTTGACTGAACACTATGTTTGGCCATTCACTCATTCCAACAAGAGTAAAATATATTCAAGTTCCCTTTTTGTGATCTGCACACAAAAAGGTGAGCCAGTCCTTTACCTTTTGGCTTTGTTTTCATTTTTTCATTGTGTGATGTCTTTTGGGGGGATCTTCATGTCTCCAGACTATTCTACAAGGTTGCAGCAGCTGGATGGATGGTAGTTGGGCTGGACTCTGGTTGGAGTGAGATGAACTTCCCGGGCCTCACTGTACCAGTTTTACAAAACAGGATGAATCCATTCTCCTGGTAGTCAGAGGGTTTGTGCTCAGGTATGCTGTGGAAGGGCTCACCCAAGTCATTCCTCCTGGAGGTGGCTCTGACTATGGTTTCTCTGTTCCAGGCTGCAGCAGGCACAGACTCTTAAGCTGATGGAGGACAACAGCTGTTCTCTTTGCAGATCAGAGCACTTTGCATTTACTTCCTTCTCCCTTTCTCTTTTTAAGGAACTTTGTGTATGGGATGAGATAAAGCTCCCAAAATTCCTAACTGGAAACAAAGGTTTGTGATAGTCTTTGGCTAAGAAATTCTCTGGACTGGGTTTGACCAGGTAACTTGGAGATAAGTCTCAGACTGACTCTTCTCTGAGAGTCCAGTGAAGTAGCTCCCAAAACAATTGGAGTGAAAATGGGGACAGATCTCAGGCAAGACCTCCCTCATCCCCCTACTACTCAGCTTGCTCAGACTCCCAGAAGCGTGTCTGTTGTGTCTGGACCTGTTGGTGTGGTTCTGCAGTAACTCTGTGTGCTGGTACAGTCCTTCTGATGTCTATATCAGCCCTCACTCAGGGGTATAGGAAACACCAGGTAAAGGAAGCTTACAAAAGCATGTGGTCCCACAGTTCAGGAAAAAAAGGGGTGTCACCTCATGTTTGAACAACATCCATGCACTGCAGGCTTCATCCACAACTTGAGGGCCAGAGGAGTTAAGCCATGAGTTCGTATGAAGATGCATTTGAAGACATTGATGGTGGAGGAAGCAATTGTTACTCTTGCTCTGAGGTCTGTCATCTGAGGAATTATTACCACTTTTTTATATCCTAAAAGACTGGTTGGGCAATAAGGTGAATATAAAATTCAAGTTCTTGGGTTTAGGAAGGCAAAGTGGTTAAGAGTATGGCCTTAGAGCCAGAATAAAATCGGGTTCAAATCTGGGCTCTTCCCCTTATAGCATGTAACATTGCATTAATCACTTATCATTTTTTCTTGGAGGACACCTACTATCTTTGAGACTAGATCATTCATGGGCTCCCTGGAAATGGAATTCTTGGATCAAAGAGAAAATTTCCTCTCCGGCACCATCACTGCATCATCATCATCATCATCATCATCATCATCAATGTCATCATCATCATCAAGGGATGGTATTGAGTGAATACTCAATAATACTCAATGGATTCCTGTTGGGCACAGGACACATACTGTGTAATTTGAATTTCATATACATTTCCAGCATTTATGCACTCTGGTGGCAATTTGTGAATTGTATAACAAGAAAAATTCCCTTTACATTCCATTTTATTTAGTTATCTGCCTTAAAATTTGAAATCATGAGGAAAATATTACTTCCATGAATTAAGGTGTTTCAGACCATCATACTGTTTCATGAAAAAGGCAGCTGCAACACACACACACGCACACACACACACGATAAAGAGAAATATCAAAATATTTCTAAATGGTATTATTATGGGAAATTTTTAGTTTCCTCTTTATTCTTTTTTGTATTTCTAGTTTTAAGTGTTTCAATCAGCATATAGAATTTTTATAATTAGAAAAGGATCATAGAAGTGAAAGTAGTATAATTCTGCTTCTTCTATCTCTTTGGCTGAGATAGGGCCTGATAACTCTTCCAGTTCTTTGCGTTCTGTTCCATCTTACTTCTGAGAAGAACCTGGTATGAGTATCAGGATAATGATATTGAGGGTAATGGCTGAGAAGCTTCCCCTCTCTATGCCACCTCAGAGCCACTCTCCCTTGCGTGAAATGCTGAACTTCTGTCTTTGGTCACAAGGTGGCATTTCATAACTATTTTCTAAATATTCTACTGCAAAGTGATATTGATTTTTCAAAAATAAAATATTAATAAGCATAATTTTCAAAGAACACTATTAAACTGATTCCTAATTCTGCTTTAAAAAATACAAAGATATAGAAAAATACAGGTAGGGTATACCCTCAGTTATATTTGCCAGAGCTTCCAAATTTACATTTCATTCATTTACTCATTCAACAAATATTTACTGAATGCCTACTGTGTATCAGACTATGCTAGCCAAAATTAGTTTATCCAACTCCAGACATTTCTCCTGAGACTCTATATTCAACTTCCTTAATACTGGTCACATGGACTAAGATAAACGTTAGCCAACAATATCGCATAACTTTGTATGGACACATACTCATCATTTAGCCAGTTCATCCCTTAATCCTGGAGGCTCACCATGTAAAGTGGAGGCAGTATGAAAAAACTGGGAAAGCATAGGTTTAGAGTCAGAAAAACTTGCGTTTAAATGGACACTTTCTTATTTCAGAACACTTTAATTGATCAAAAGGATTCTTAGTAACCTAGGAAGTGGATTAATAATATAAGGTTTCAAATACAAGACATAACCAGGGGCACCTGGGTGGCTCATTTGGTTTGGCATCCGACTTCGGCTCAGGTCATGTTCTCACAGTTAGTGCGTTCCAGCCCCACATTGGGCTCTGTGCTGACAGCTCAGAGCCTGGAACCTGCTTCAGATTCTGTGTCTCCCTCTCTCACTGCCCCTCCCCAGCTCTTGTTCTGTCTCTCTCTTAAAAATAAATAAAAATATTTTTAAAAAGACATACTTATAAATCTAGGGTTGAAAGTCAGAGTCTACATTACACATTTGACAACCATTGACGTAGATGATTTCCATGGTCTGCTTCCTTTCCTCCCATTGTTTATTCAGCTCCTGCTAAGTGCGCTGGCTGTTGGCTAGGTACTGAGACAGTGAACAAAAGAAAGTTCCTGCCTTTATGATGCATATATTCAGATAGACACTCTTAAAAAATTTTTTTGAAGTAAATTTACATACAGTGAAATGCACAGATCTTTATAAGTTTATCTCTGTATAAGTGTATACAATTGTGTGTAAAATAGGACATTTCCATTACTCCAAAAAGTTTCCTGTCCTTTTCCATAGTGTGACTATACTACAATTTGTTTATCTACTCAGGTATTTTGGATGAGTTGTTTCCATTTTTTGTCTATTGTAAATATAGCTGCTACGAACACTTTTGCATAAGTTTTTGCGAATATGTGTTCTTATTTCTCTTGGGTAAATATCTAGTAGTAGAGTTGCTGGGCATAGAAAGAGCAACTGTTTGATTTTGTATGAAATTGTGAACAGTTTTCCAAGTTGGTTGTACATTTTGTATGCATACAAACAATGCATGAGAATTTCAGTTGCT